TTTACTATTTGTTTAGAATTGAAAACCCATTTTCGATTAGAGCAATCATTTTCTGAGGGTGTAAACATGAGATATGGGTGTCGGATTTGGGTGTTATCTTTATTGTCTCACACCCACATCCTAATTTACTGAGCTATCGAGTTATTAATGATGAACCATCAACTTAATAGAAAACTTGAATAAGAAATAAACTTGATATGTACATTATTTATTATAGCATTCAATTTCAAAAATTTTTTACATTATAAAATGGACTTGTTTATTGAACTTTGAAAGATTTTTTTGTACCATCCATATTGTTTGTTCTTTTTTTAAAATAACTTATGCCATGTTACGATGCCTGTCACAAAAAGAAAATGAAGTCTTTAGTATTTGTTGAATGAGTGCAAAGAATCATACTATAAAAATGATACGGAATAAATATATCTTTACTATTTTTTTTAGTAAAGATAAGCATTAATCAATCTATAGATAGTATTCAATCATGGCTAAACATTTAATAGACAAAATAAAAAATAATGTATATGTTGCAGTGTATAGTAAATTCTACTAAATTAAGTTTGCAAGCTCCTCCCACAGCCAGTGACAGACACGACCTGAACCCGTCATAGACCGTGGCAAACAGGGCTCAGGGGTCATTATAGACTGTGACAGAAGACTTCAAGGAAATATCAGAGATGATACATAACTAACATATGATTGAAGCATATATGGAGTATTATCCTGTTGAAGGTTTATAATGTAAGATAAACCATTATGAAGAAATGTACATCAGTATGCATAAAAAACAACATCTTTTAGAACATCGGCTATAGCAGCTACATCGTGTTTCACATTTTTAATCTCGCAAGGGATTGCGCTAACAGCTTTTCTTTTCTGTATGTATTTCTTCAGTATACAACTTTAACCAGTAAGAAAAGAGATTGCGTTTCAATCAGAGATCGTCACAGGACAGGGCAAGTTTCTTATTTTTTCGTCCTGTCGTGCAGGATCAGGGCAGGACAAAATATTTTGCCCTGTTATTTGTTTTTCCAGACAGTTATTTGAAAAAGGTTTTCTAGTAAATAATGTTGGTATGTTTATGTTATGAGCAATTGTAATAGATATCGTTATACACTGTTTATCATAACTTTTGACATTATATCTCGTCGAAACAATAGTTTATTATTATATTGAATATCATATAATTCATTTAAATTTCGCATACAAATACCAAGCTGATTTAAAGAGGAAAAAAACATTTTAGAATAATGCAGAATTGTATAAGAGAACAATTTGATTTTTTTTGTTAAGTATATTCATATATTCCTCTTCCAAATAGTTTCAAACATGCACTTGGTTTTGCACAACATATTTATATAAAAGTTTAGAACATGTGAATATTCTAGTTTCTTCAAATCTTTTAAAATTAAATTTTCTAGTTTCGATTATTTCATTGAGTTTTCTAAGTTCGATGTTTTGATCTATCGTCATTTAACATGAATCTAAATATCAAATAGTAAAGAACGAATCGTCACCTGCTGCTACATGGTGAAGAGTATTTTTTTTATTCAGCACAATTAAGTAATAATCAGTTAGAAAGAATTCCTGAATTTCATAGTGGTTTCAAACGTATAAACAATCAAGTTTACAATACAATGAATGATGAAAAACGTATTAAAGAACATGCTGATAAATGTTTTCCAGTACTGAACACAAAAACAATATCATTATTATCATCTTCAATCACTTTTACCTCATCTGCAAGTTCATCGACACAAATAAGTTTGAATCAAATGGAATTGAACAAATGTGTACAATTTTACAGTCACAAAGTTTTTTTTTTCAGTTATTAGATCTTTTCTAATTTAAGCTCAACTTCTAAGTCCCGCCCTGCCCTGCCCTCATGGCGGGGCAGAGCAGGGTGGAAAAAAATATTATGAATCAGCATCGGGGCAGGACAGGGCATAAAAAAACTGTCCTGTGACGATCTCTAGTTTCAACGACATCTGTCTGTGGACAAAAATTCTTTACATGTACAAAATGATTATAAAGATTATTAGGGATGTGTGGTTACAGTATAAAAACTGATGATACCAACACTGATGCCACTGATGTACTGAACACTGGGGCACTGACTACACTGGACCGTGAAACACTGAAGCCCTGAAAAGACCGGAACACTGACATTTACTGATAGAGACTCGTCTGCTGTATCAGTAAACATTAGTGCTCTAGTGTCTTCAGAGCGTCAGTGTTTCACGGTCCAGTGTAGTCAATGCTCCGGTGCTCAGTGTGCCAGTGTTGTCAGTTCTCAGTAAACTGAAACTACACATCTCTAAAGATTATACATGTTCTCAATTAATTTCACTTAAATATGATGAAAATTAATACACAAAAAAAAAAGAAAATCTAACACGGCGTAATTGACTATCGCATCGAATATCTAGCTAGCATATGCAAATATTAACACAGGGTATATTTGACTTTAACCACTATTCTTCACTAAAATTATGATTACTACTAGGTTTTTTAAGAATTATTGTAGATTAAAACTTTACGACTTGATCTCCAGCTATTAGTCGTTGAATAGTACACGATCAGTTTTTCTTAAACTAGTTACTTCGTTATATCGTGCTCGTAGTCGTTTAACTTCGTGTTCAACTTGTTGTGCTCGAACATTAGCAGCAGCAGCATCAGATTTTGTAGAATCAATTAATTTACTTGCTTCATTCCTTTCAATATCATACATTTCTTTAATACGTGATGAGTCTCTTGAAAAAGAAAACAAAATCAAATTGTTTTTTGTCTTTTAGTTTTTATTTATGCTTACTGTCCTGCACGACTTCGTAATACATCTAATTCCATTTGTAATTTTTTATTGTGTGCTTCTAAAAATTTTACTCTTTCAATATATTGTGCAAATTTATCATTTAATTGTTCAAGTTCATGTTTTTCACGTTGACGTGTTGTATAAAAATCAGCTAAAGCAGCAGGACCTAGACCAAAAACATCACGTTCACGAGCTGCTTGAAAGTTTTGATATACTTGTGTCATAACACCGCCACTACCGAAGAAACCATTCAAAAATTAGGTTCTTTTTCAGCTAAAGTATAAAATATTGAAGAAATCAGATGCATAATAAATCGAAATGCTTTTATTCCTAGGAAAGATTGTTGGTTGATGAAATGCAAACGGTAACTATTAACAAGAAGCTTTCCATTTCAATCAATGATGTAACTCAGAATATTGCTTCCTAAAAATTGTAAATGGTTATATGCGGCTGTACATATAACGAAAAAGCTAATGTACCTTGACGATTTTAGTCATTATCGATCAGTTACAAAAAACAACAACGAGCTATATTGTTCATAGACTTATTCAAGCCGAAAACATAGTTTGAGTTCGGCTTAATTTTTTCTTAGGTCCAAAAAATATGACCAGATAAATTCGAATATATTTTACAGATGTTTCAATTAGTAAATTTTGTTTAATCCATATTCTATTTAGAAGAAAAAATGCTATTATTTATAAATAGAAATAAAGTCATCAGATTTTTAAAGTATGGAAATTTTCTCCTGCTTTACAACCATCTATGATAACTTCAATACATGACTTTTCAAGTAGGGATGAACCTCCTTCTATATCATGGAAAAATTACGAAAAAAAAGTGACAATAAGTTTCACAGTAATTTGTTTTGCTCAGAACAGAAAGTAGGTGTAGGTTAGTGGAGGAAGTATTTTTCTACAAATCCGCTTATATCCCGTTCGCGGGTCAAAACCATAGTCACTTTTGAAAGTTTATAAAGGAAAGCCTGCATTTCGAAAAAATATCGATTTTTTTTATAAAGTTTGATCAAATATCTTTATGGTCGAGGAATCTGAATCTTTGATCAGTCTTTCAAAATTTTTGAATTTGAGTATTAATAGTTATTTTCGAAACTTGATGGACCCAGCAAACTTTTCGTTGCTCACTGTTGGATCAATAGTAACAGTAGCTTACCACTCCTAGTCAAAAGAGATTGATACAGTTTTAGGATGATTTAATAATGAATATGTTCACAACTATAGCTTTATAAGCAGTTGTTAAATTTTCTAAACTAGAACTTATTAATTCTACAGTATCAAGAAAATTATATTTGAACTACTTCTATTTTTTTTTCTTTCATTACATATTACATCATTTTCGATAAGTTCCTAAAACCAATGGACGTGATCGTTGTACATAAGTAACGCGTGGTCTTATTGCTGATTGATATGTTGTTCCTGTATTTGATATTGTATTATAAGATTCATTAACTTGTTCATAATCACGCGTAATTCCTCCTTGTCGAGAGTCGTAGTGAGAATACATTTTTGTTTATTAGAGAAATATTGATTGACAAAAACTAAAATGAAGCAAAAATGTAAATTTTTATTTCACCACATTATTAATACTTTTAATACAGCAAAAGAAGCGTCAAAACGAACAAAAGTAATCGACGAAATTCCAATTACTCACTTTTTCTTTTTTCTTTCTTCCTTCTGCTCTTGCCACAGTATTTTTTTTCTCTGTTTCTCTTTCGATGGTGTTTTTTTTATCCTTTACACAGCCAGTACTCTCGCTCTATCAAGAAAATACAAGTTTCACTTGCATCGACGCTACTCATATATACAAAACAACAACAATTGACATGCCGTGCAGGAGGTAAAAAAGTGCAAAGTTGTGTTTAAAAATTTTTTTTACTTATTGTTCATTTCAAAATACAATGTGCTCCTCTGTTTTTTGAATAACTTGAGAACGCAAGCAGCTAGAGATCTGCGATTTTTACCAATCGAAAGAGGAGACCAGAGCACGCCTTTTTCTTCAATAATGTATAAGAAAAAAATCCTTTTAAAACTAATTAGGATGTTGGTGTGGACAGCTGTACAAGAAATACCCACACCAACGCTCATATCCACATCCACCCTATCCCAGAAGTAATCTAGAAGAACATAAAATAAAAGTGAAACACATTTTTCTTTAGTATGTAAAGAAATGGTCATCGTCGAATAAAATCCAGTTCAATGAGTCTAAATAATGGAAAAGCAGCTGCTGTAAATATAAATCCAGCTTCAAAGCCAATATCTGCACCTTCGATATCCGTATCTTCTGCAATAGCTTTTGCTATTGGTCCACTAAACCAAATTTGTGACATTCCAAGTATAATACCAGCTACACCAACTAATGCCGATAGAATAGCAGCTAAACTAATTGGTAATAGTTTAGAAGAATTCCATATACTAAAATTGTAATTTCGAAATGAACAACGTCGAAATAATATATGATCTTCAAATACAATAACCATAAATATTGCAGACCAATATGAAGATATACCCATAACTGATGTTAATGCACCATTAAATTTACTTGCAGCTACAATAGCTAATAGAACATAGGCTGCAGTACCAATAACTGTATAAAGAAAACGTGGTATACGACTAAATATTGGTGCAATAACTTGTGTAGATAATGATAATGAATAAAGATTCGGTATATTGCATGCAACAATTGATAATGAAAATAGAATAAATATAAATTTCCCAAAACCACGAAGAGGTGATAGAATGGCACGCAATAATCCACCCACATTATCTATTTCATATGCTTGTTTCCAATTTTGATTTGTCTATGTCCCAGTATAAGCAGCTGCACCAAGTAATTGCATTACAACCATTGATACAAAATTGCTAATATAAGTGAGAAGAAAAATTTTTAATTGACTTGTATCTTCAGGAAAATATGTATTGTAATCAGCTGCAAACGGACACCAACTACATGCAGTGCCAAAAATTATTGAGCCAAAAGTTAGAACACAAGATAATTAAAGACGAAAAGTACTACTATTGCTGGATATTGTTGCATTGTGAAATACCTATATGAGAAGAAATAATCCTGAATTTTTTCAAACACATTAGAGATTAGACTTCTTCATTGTTAATGGATATTACCATTTCACTATTTGTAAAATATTTGACATCAACTCCTGCTAATATACAATATCCTATAAATACTGGTATCCATGAATAAAGTTCATAGATATGAATCCATTTATAACCTATAAATGAGATGATCATCGTTATAATAGCAATTATAATTATTCCAACAGTTATAGGGAATGAATCATTGAATACAACACGTAATGTTTGCGCACCGTTGATACTATTAACAACTGCCCAACCGATGGCTGACATAACATTGACTATCGACATTATCGAAGCACTATAATAACCCCAACTATAACGAGAAAAGATCATTGTACGTAGACCGGATGCTGGACCAAAACAAGCCATGCCTGCTATTGACAATGTTGCCAATAGATTAAAAATGATAATGGTTACAAAAGAATTATTGAGATCTAACTCGAATACTGCTGGACCGAGTGTATCTGCAGCAAAACATGGTATAATTATATTTGCACTGACCTAATAAACAAATATTCAATAGTCTTGATAAGTATTTTTTACAGGAGAATAGATCGAGAATGACTGAATTGTCGTTACTCTTCAGTTTCTTATCCATATCATTGCTGTATTGATAATTGTCAAATCAGTTCGATCTTCTGACGATACTCGTTCAATACCACGTTCTTCTATATTGAGACAGGCAAAGATTTTTGCAGTCTTGTGGTACCAATTTGTAACAGAATTACATTTTTCACGTGAGGAAATTTTATTCGAGTCAATACATTGAGTTTCGTCGATATTCGTAGGAATGTTATTAAGTTCAATATCTTGGTCAATGGAAGCTAAATGCCGCATGGACGACACTGTCACTATACGATGGTTTTGTGACATTGGTAAATTCTATCTAAATTATAATCAGTTCGTAATTAAGACAACAGCAACCAGAACTTATTAATGAGTTTGCTGCTATACATTGTATAGATTATAAGAAAAATCGAAGGTAGGACATAATGAAGAGAATGAAGTTTTAAAAAGTATAGAAGGCAACACATTACCATTATATTTGATTTTATCAATTATCACACTTCTAATTCTGATAGTTACGAATCATTGACCATGAAAAACAGCTAGTTGAATGGTGCACACTCATGTAAAAAAAATAAGGGAAATAACCAGATTAAAATCGATTAAAGGTGTATGATTATAATTGATTTTAATCTGATTATTTCCCTTATTTTTTTCACATGGGCAGAGAGTATACTGACAATATATGAAGAGGGTTTGACAGCTATTGCAACGGTGAGAATAGTGAAGATTTTAGTCGGAATATAGACATTGGTATCACTCAGGCGTTTGATTAATGCAGAATTTTGCGTAAAATATTCATTGATCTCACCAATCGAATAGTTGTCCAACTTTCTTGGTAACAGCGTCGAATAAATTATTGAATGCAATGTAGAAAAAAACTAACAGTCTAATGAGTAGAACTTTTATTCATCACGAGCATAAAATAACATTTTGTTTTGCTTCATTAATGATTGTTTACGAAGCAGTGAAATATGCAAAAGAAGAACTTAAAAAACGTGAACAACCATTCACACCTAGATTTGTAGCATTTATTGCTTTCAGTCCTTTTTGCCAGTATGATTCACTACATCTGCAACTGCAATGTTTGTACTTATTGAATGGATTCGTCACCAACATGATGAAATAGATCGTGCACCATCTACTGATTCACTCACAATGGAATATTTGAATTCGATGCAATTTATTGAAGCTTGCATTCATGAAGTTCTCCGACGTAGTACGAATTATCGATTAGGCTTACGATATGCCGATCGAGAGTTTTCATTATCAGACGGAAAGTGTATCCCATCGGGAAATATTGTTGCAACTTCTATGATTCATGCTAAGGATTTATATCTAAATCCGGAAAAAGATCGATCCTGCAAGACATTTATCACCGAGAGAAGAGAGCAATGGTAATCTGTATCGAGCAGCACCATTTGGACGGAGTAGACATGTTTGTCCTGGAGAAAAATATGCTAAAATGGAAATCAAAGTGATACTTAGTGAAGTATCAAAAATGTGCAAAATGGAACTAATGAAAGAATCGATTTATTTTGAAGAAACAGTTGGTAGGATTGAGTCGTCCGATAAAACCTTTTTACGTAAAAATTTCCAAGAATCAACAATAGAAAACACATGCTCTTATAAGAGAGACATTTTTTTTGTACCCTTTTAATGTCGTAAGCTTCGAATAAAGCATGTACACTTTTCTTTCAAATTGAAATTAATAGAACCATAACATAACTCGATGGGTACTCATTAAGAATTTATATATTTGTATCGTCCACAAAAACGATCGATGCATTTGCATTATGGTGTTTTGCTTTGTGTGTGTTAAACAGCTGTAGTAATGCACTTAGATATTTCTCATGATATTCATCAACTATTTCAGGTGTAATGTGTTCAGGAGATAATTTTGGTATTTTAATCCGTTCACCAATATACGTATCAATCGGATGTCGATAAGGTAACAATCCAAATTTAGATTGAAAAATGCGACGTCCATAAAATAGTGGTAAGGCATAGCCTGTCTTTTGTTGTAGAAACATTTGCACTTTTCTTAATTTCGAACCGCGTGGGTTAGGATCTTGTTCGTATAGATCATTTTCACCAAATGAAAACACAGGAACTAGACTTGCACCATTTGCCAGAGCAATTTTAATAAAACCTTTACGATTTTTAAGCGTTAATAAATACTCACAAGATGGACGTGCATCTAGTACTTCTCTAGAACCACCAATAACTAACATAATACTGTTGCCTTTGCCTTGTTTTAAAATATAATTACACGATTCTTTCGATACATCACATATACCCATCATTGTTAGAATTATTTCGAAAAATGGTATTCCAAAATTGGAGTTCAATACAAGAAAACGAAGATTAATACCAGGAAATAAATTTTCAAAACTCGTAGCTTCCGTAGCAAAATTACCAATACCTCCAAGGCAATTAATTCCATGTGGATGATAACCAAATATATAAGAACAATCAGGAGATAGATCACATGTTTTATGTAAACGAATCGGAAAATAGTCTAAAAAGAAAATTCAAAGGAAATCAAAAAAAAACACTTAGTTTTATACGAACTAACAAACCAGTGCCAAAAGAACAATCGACGAAACCATTGTTGTCTATGACCACCTTCTTTCGGATACTTTCGAAATCCGATCATCCACGTTATATAGAGAAGAACGCCTCCAGTTACATAGCAACAACCGGAACAAAGAAAATATATCGTTAAAAATAAAGACAAAAATGGTAATAGCCACCACACGAGAACACTTAATGCTTCACAGCGACTTTGCAATGACATGTTAAGTGAAATTTTACACAAAATCTAAAAACTAAAGAGAGAACATCCCAGATCAATCAATATGACTATCTGTATTTTCACCGAAATATCTGAAAAATTTAGAAAATTGATTTCAATTAAGTCAAAAACTAGGTCAATCAAATTCGTTTTGCTTTATTTTACTGGTTATTGTTTATGTCTGCATCGAATCGACTTTCTTCATTGATTTACGCAATTGACGACGAAAATAATCCGATATAGCTGTCCTGTTATAAAAAATTACTATTTGCTTTTCGTTCTCATAAATGAAAAACAAAGCTCACGTGTCGAATAGAAGAAGATAAAAGCATTCTTTTAGTCGCATATGAGAGAAATGTTATCAGTCATACCTCGTGTATTAGTAGAGGGTAGGTGTCGGTAAGGAGAAGATCTACACTCACACCCACATCAAATTAATAAATTCTTTTATTAGAATTCTTTTAGTTACAATTATGATAGAGAATGTAGCAGCTTCAATTAAGCACTTGAAATTCCAATAATAACGACAAAGACAATCCAGAAACCTGCTAATTGTAGGACAACCTCGACTGGAAATCTTGTATACTCTAGGTATGATTTTTCATAAACCATGATTCCGATAGAATCTAAATTTTGATGACTTTGTTCATGACTAAGAATTGCTCGTAGTGAATCCTTCCCGATGATTCCAAGTAGCTGTTGATCTTGTATCCTGGCGTGAATTGGAATACTGAAAAATTCATTCCTGCTGTTCCTAAGATATTTGTCCTTAACTAATAGCAGACTTTCATGAATCCGTGATTCATTTTGACAATAAACAAAAAAATATTATAGATAGACAAAGCAGTATAAAGAACATAAGTTAACAGATATAGCAATAATACTTCTATTATTTTCTCCAATGATTGAAATCTGTACATCTTGGTGTTGTGCAGCACGAGCACTAGAAGACATTTTGTTACTGACAGTTAGATACGAGAATATTCTCTTATATATATTTATAAATGTTTTGTAAAGATAAAAATCTCGCCGAAAGCACAATGGCTAATATTCTCTAGGTCGATATATTTGCATAACTGATGGTGTGAATCAGAAGGTGCATTAGTAAATCCTTAAAATGACAAATGATTTCCACATAGCATTAATGACACAGCGTCTGTTACAGATTCTTGGACCCGAGTCCGATCCTGAAAGAAGTATTCTCTCAGGTTTCTCGTTTCGAGCTCTGGCGACATCATTTTAATAAAAATTTATTGGTAGAGCGTACATAGTTTACATCATGTGACGTCAGATTGAGAAATGCATCAATAATTCCATTATTTCGTTCTCCACATGGTATTTATATAGGCAAATTTCATCAAATACTCTCATAAGAACACCATGGAGCAACTACCGGACGAAATATTGCTGTCAGTCTTTCAATACTTGAACGTATTCGATCTTCTCTATGGATTTTCTTTATTAAACGCTCGTTTTCAAAGAATAATCGCACCTTATTGCAATGAAATAGATCTGAGTAATATTTCTTACAAACATTTCAAGTTATTCCGTGATTATATTCTTCCCATCAATGGACATCTTATTCACTCACTCACATTAGAAGGAGTTGAACACCTGATACGACTTTATTCACTAGAGCATTTATGTTTCATACAACAGTTAATAATCAAACCAAGACCTTTTAAAGATCAAATGAATGTAAGAATTGAACGCTTCTTGGAAACGTTGAGTACATTATCAAGCTTAAAATATTTAACAATGATCGATGTGAGACCGATGTATTTGAGTAATAATGATTCGATTGGTCTACTTCCTTCAATCAAGTCCTTAGCAATACATTTACACACTTTCTCGAGTTTTAAATATATCCTAGAGGCAATGATTAACCTTGAAGAGTTAAATTTATCCATAACAACATTGGAAAATCAGCAGTTTACATACGATGATAAATATCAACTCTCTATTCCTTCCTCGCTTCGACATTTTTATCTCGAATGTGGAAACTCTTGTGATGGTGAACAAAATGTACAAAAATTGGAAACTATTCAATTGTTTTTATCCTTTTTTAGTCAATGTCAATTACAGTCATTGACATTGATCGTTTCAAATACATTCGTAGATTCTGTAAACTTGCAGTTGTTAAAAGATGCTCTCTTTCCCAAACTTAAGTCATTTCATTACTCGATATGTGTAGATTCAGATCGTATTCATGAACATTCGTCTAGTAATTTGGATAACACGATGAAATTACCTACTTTTAGCAAGTTTTGCAATTACTCAAGGATCTACGGTTGTTATAAGACTCCATCCGCAATGCATAAATTACAAAATGCAACTTGTCTCCAAGTATATTGGGTACGTAAGTTTCCAGGATTTGATTATTCAATGAAGCTACCAAACCTGAGAACCTTAAGATGTTTCCAGTGCCAGGACGGCGATATATTAAGCAGATTATTAGTAATATCTAAAAACTTGGATTGTTTAAATTTAGAAGAAGTGGACTCACCGAGAATTATAGAATGTCTTAAACAGTGCGATCTACAACAACTGAAGAGAATTAAAAAGTTGGAATGTAGGTGTCGAATGGATAATTCTTTCTTAAGAGAATTAATACAGGTTTTACCGAATTTGCAATATCTCAGTCTGGTTGACACTCAATATCATGGGTGTTTTGGGCTTGAAGATGGATTGAAATTCGATACTGCAGTTGATCATGCGCAAAAATTTTTCAAGAATCTGATCTATCTCCACATTAATTCTCAATACTTCGTACATAAAACCGAAAGAATTTCGGAATCAGATAGAGTGTATCATTTGTTTGAAGAACAACGTAAAAGTGGTTTATTCTATCCAGAAAACTACAACTTTGATAGAAGCGCATACAGTATAACTCTTTGGTTTTAACTACGTGGCAAATCAAAATAATATCTTTCGGAATTAGATGAGTTCAAGATTTCCGGACTCGACGGGTTCTATCGATAACACCAATAAAGAAAATGAAAAAGTAGCATTATAATCAACATCATGAACATCACGCGCTCTCAATAAGCAAGAGAATACTAGTATTTCTCTAAAATCTTTATTGCTATATTAAATAGTATTCGTGAGATGTGTATTGCAACGATGCGAATAGTCATGGAACATATATAAATGTCGAGAGATAATTGTTTTGTTCTTGAATGATTCAGTGTTTCATTTCGACAATATGATAGTAAAATGAAACCAATCGCTAACCAAGTAGCATAGTTCAGCAAACAGAGATCGTCGATTAAAATGATTAACATACCAATGAATGGAATATATCTACATAGGTATTAGGACAAATGAAAACGAGAGATAAAAAATTATTAACTGACCCTTGTATTTTACCAATAAGATCTTTCCGTTTAAGCCAAAATTGCCCTGACGAATAAAGGTCACGATCATCTACCATAGCACATGCTTTTGAATTTAATTGGTTAATTAGAGGCAAACCTTAGTACGATGATAATATGGTTTACACAATGAGTCAACAACATAATACTTTTCGAAACTATGATTATCGTTGTACTGATCAGTGCACATTAAACGACTTGTTGGAGAATCTAAATATAGTATCAACACACAGAAAGTAAGGATGAAGATCACTTATTTACTTGTCGTAGGTGATGCAATAAAGATCCAATAGTAATGACGATTTTGTATGTAAACGGATTAGAAAGAAAGCATATCGATATGTTGAATAATATACGAAAACAAGCCAATTACAGTTTCATTTGTTGAAAAAATTCATAGGTACAGATGTCCCTAGAGATAAGCGTGTGGAATTGAGGTATAGGGAATACGCCCAAAATAATTTTTGTTTTCCTACATTCAAAGACATCCTCCGACACATCGATGAATTCACAAAATCAAAAGCATTCACTTTTCGAAATAGTATTAAAGTTCTATATTAACTTCGTTTCAATCATTGTGTATATGATTTTTTGATAAAATAAAGGTCGAATTGAACCGACTTTTACGGGTTCCATTTCTGTCCCTGATCCGAATGACTCCAACCGACTAAATCTATTTTTCTGAGAAATCGAAATTTTCATATTCTTTATCTTTACAAAATGAATTCATTTTGTTACAAATGTAAAGAAGAAACTCGAATTTGCAGATCTAAATACCAAATACTGCTTATATATTCAATGTTTAGGAATCTGAATGAGGAAAATATTCGAACTTGCTACCGTTACCATCATTCTGTAAAAGATCATTTCGATTATGGTAACTAGATTGTTTGCATTTCAAGCTTGAAGTCTTCGTAAAAATTTTGAATAACAAAGTGAAGCATTAACCATCAGTTGATATTGTTTGTCTCGTTAGATATTTTAAACGCATTCAAAACAAATGGTTCATGGCAATACAAATATTATAGAGAAAATTAAAAGATCAGCCCAATAAAAAATCTTTAGGAAAATTAAAATGACTGAAACAAAAAAAACATCAGTCTTTGACTTGTTATAATAAACTTCATTCTCTAAATGCGTGAAACATTCTCTTTTCTTTGAATTTACTGCTGATAGAAGATTTAAAACCAGATGTTTTCATTTCAGTAAAAATCGGTATGTATTAAAAACGAAATTTTACTGCTAATAGACTTTTTTTCATAGGAAAAAATTTATCGGTCTGACTTTATTCTATCATTTATGCTTTTGAGAATGTCTAATTTTAAAAACTAAGTAATGGAAAATTGTAAACATGAAAAAGAAGGGCAATATGAGAAAAACTCATACAATAGACATCAATTCCTAATTGAAAGGTTCAGAAAGATTGAATAAGAAAAAATCTTATTATGTGGCAATCTATTTGGAAAAAAAATCATATGAGGTTATGCC